TCTCCCTCTCCCACTCCCCCTGCTTGTGTTCCCTCTCTCACTGTGTCTCTCTCTGTCAAATAAATAAATAAAATCTTTAAAAAAAAAAAAATCAAACATATAGACCAACAAAATCCCAGAAATAAACTCTCAAATATACAGGCAAATGATTTTTGACAACAGTGTCAAGACCACTCAATGTGGGAAGGACAATCATTCCCACAGACGATGCTGGGGAAAGAGCCTAGCCACATCCATAAGAATGAAGTTGGACCCTTACCTAACACCATTTACAAAAATTAACTCAAAACGGATGAAAGACCCAAATATAAGAACTGAAACTATAAAGTTATTAAAAGAAAACAGAAAAAAGCTTCATGACATTGGATTTAGCAGTGATTTCTTAGATATGAGACCAAGGGCACAGGGAACAAATGAAAAGACAAACTGTACTTCATAAAATAAAAACTTTTAAGCATCAAAGGACACTATCAAAAAAGAGTAAAAACGCAACCTACAGAATGGAACAAAATATTTGCAAATCACATATTTGATAAGGTATTGATATCCACAATATATAAAGAACTTGTTAAACTCAACAACAAAAGAACAAAATATCTGATTAAAAAAAGGCAAAGAACTTGAACACACATTTCTCCAAAGGTCTACAACTGACCAGTAGGCACATGATAGATATTCAATGTCACTAATTAACGGAAATGCAAACCAAAGCCACAATGAGATAACACCTCACACCAAGCAGGCTCTGCAGCAGGCAGGCCTAAGGCCCAAATCTTAGCACTACCACTTATCAGCTGGACAGTATGGGGCAGGTGATGTGTAACCTCTCCATGTGGCAACCTCTTTACCTGTAACACAACGGGTAAGGCAGCAACTTCCTCCAGAACTGAGGTGGGTTACTAGACAGTGGGAAGTGTGGTTGACCCAGCTAGTCCACAGGAAGAGTGTCGCACTGCTGTTCATCTCACTGTGGGCTTCCCTGCTCTGCCTGGCATGTGGCTTCATCTCCTCTGTACCACCCAGGCTCTGTTCAACACCTGGTGGTGCCCTGAATACATCCAGAATACAACTCTTACTCAGAGAAATCAGAAAGCCCACAACCCTTCCTGGGGTAAACAGCCACATACTACCTTTAAGACAGCCTTCCAGAAGTCCAATCCCACAGCATGGACCCAAAACCACGGGGGTCCAAGGCCTCAATGTACTCTCAGCACCCTATGACCCACCCAGGACAAGGAAGACCCCGGAGCACGGTGAAGAGCTGCCCACCTTAATGATGACACGCTGGTCTGACTGGTCCTCCAGGATGCTGTCCGTGGGATAGGACTCTATCTGCTGTCTGATGGCAGAGGCGATGGCTGGGACAAATGTCAGTGGGTTCAAATCCAGGTCATCACAGAGGATTTCTGAAAACATCTCAGGGGTCATCAGCTTCTCTGAAATCAGGAATTGCCAGCTGATTACAGGACCTAACTTCACCATGTTTGGCCCTAGCCTCTCCATCCCCTTCCTCCTCTGCTAGACATCCCCAACAAAGAACGATAACTGAGGGTGACCCTCCCAGACATGGGGCTGGGGGAGGAAGCACAGGACGAGCATCACCCCCTTCTGGCCCTCATTCCACACACACACTCCTTTGATCCCTTGATCTGGGACTTCTAGAGTCCAGAATTGAGAGGAAATAAATTGTTGTTTAAGCCACCCAGTCTGGTACTTTGATATGGAAGCCCGAGCAAAATAGCACAGTCTCCTTCCAGGTAAGTCACTTTGAGGTCAGTGTCCCATTGGCACACAATCATTCACCAACTTCCTCCCCAGTAGAGAAATCCCTGAGATATCAGGCTGCTTGTGGCTTTTTATGGACCTTCCCTCAGTTTCTGACTCTCTGGGCAGCACATACACATAACAAGGTGACAAATATGCAGGTGTAAATGGACCCTGGATCCTGGAAATATAGCCATACCAGGTATGAACTTGCAGGGGCCATCTGCAACTGGCCAGATTACAGCAAGGTCCCATGTGGTCAAATGTTTTCTCTCTGTTCTGCCCTGTTGTTGTAACCCAAATTTAACAGCCACGCACCACTGCTGGGATGAGCCACAGACAAGAAGAAAGTCAAGGATGAATCCCCTTATTGGTACATGGCATGATTCCATCATCAAGAACCAGGTCTGCTCAACAACTTACCCCACTATTTCCTCACTAGCCCAGAAGGGCTAGAGACCAGCCATCCTAACAGTACCATCAGGACAGACCCAGAACACTCAGCCAGTCTATGATCAGTAACTCATATAGCAAGCATAGTTAATTTCGGAGATTGCAGCATGGAGCTGAAGTGCCCTATGAAGCACCCTATGAGTACAATGAACAGAACATTATTAAACTTTTTAGTTTGAGATAATTATAGATTAATATGCAGGCTTGATTACTGTTGCTATATATTAACACTTGAGACTGGGGAAACTGATTCTCCTACTTTATTCTTTTTTTTTTTTTCCAAAATTGCTTTGATTATTCTAGTTCCTTTGCCTTTCCATATAAATTTTAGATAATTTTGTCTATATGCACAAAAAGTTTTGCTGAAATTCTCACAGGAATTGCATTCAACTTGCATATCAATTTAGGGGAACTAACATCTTGAGTATTCTAATCCATAAAAATGGTATGCCTGTCCATTTCTTTAGATCTTTTTAATTAATTTTATTGGTGTTTTGTAGTTTTTGGCATACAAGTCCTATACGTGTTTGTTAGATTTACACCAAAGTATTGCTTTTCTTTTTTAAAAGATTTATTTATTTTTAGAGACAGAATTCGTGTGTGCACGGGGGTGGGGGGCAGGGGCGGAGGGAGAGAGAATCCCAAGCAGACTCTGCACTAAACGTGGAGCCCAATGCCACGACCCTGAGATCATGACCTGAGCCGAAGGCAGTTGCTTAACCAACTGAGCCACCCAGGCGCCCCCCGTGCTCAGCTTTTTAAGACTAAGATCAGGGTGGCCACTGCTCAGGGCCCACCCTGCTGCCCTCAGAGAAGCGTGGGACCTCACTCCTTGTCCCCGTTCACAAAGCCCTGCACCTCTGGACCCCGCACACCACTTTTCACTCTCTGCAAACAAGCCCCCTGTCCTTTCCCATTTCCGTGTTCTGCTCACGCTAGGCGACCGACCAATGATGGTTAACAGAATGGAACCAGAAGAGCTGCCTCTTGGCCTAATAGGAACCGAATGCCCAGTGAGCCCCGAGGGCACGCTGGAACCAAAAAGATGGGAAGCAGCAGGCAGCCCACAGAAAAACATCAAACTGGGTCAAATAGGAGCAACGGGTGTAGCCGTGCACATGCAGCCCCAGCAAGCCCTGCCCCGGTTGCAAGGGCAGGAGTCCTCCTAGCCACCAGGCGGCACTGAGCGGACTGGGGTGCCTGTGCCCCGCCAGTAACTGGTCATTAATGCTCGCATCTATTCAAAACTACAGATTGTGTGCCTACCAAGGAAGAGGCACAGGGAATGCAATGGTGAGTACGACCAACAAAACACTGTCTTCGTGGGTTGACATTCCAGTTGGGGGAGAGATACCTAAGCAAGTTAATTATGTGAATGTATGGTACCTGTCATGTGTGGCCAGGTCCTAAAGAGAAAATGAGGGGAAGGATAGAAAGTGCACAGGAGGCCACGTTAGCCAGGAGGCCCAAGAAGGCCTCCCTGGGGGAGGTGGCATTTTAGGAAGAACTGAATGGGCAAAGAGCGCAGGCCCTGTGGCTCCTTGGAGAGAAGGGTCCTGGGCAGAGCTGGGCCTGAGGCTATCGGAAGGGCTCCAGCCTCCACAAAGGGATCTGGAAGGCCTGGGGAGTGTGTTGAGCAGAGAAGAGACACTGGCTGCCACTGAGACCTCTGCTGGAGGGAGCTGTCTAGCAGTGGGGATGGTGGGGTGGTGAGGAGTGGCTGGACTCTGAGTGGGCTCAGAGACGAGGCAGGGCCAGGACCCCTAAGTAGGCATGCAGCACTGGGGCCAGGCTCCAGCCATCTCCCCAACCTCCAACCCTTATCACCACATACACCTGCACAGAATGGGCCCGGTCAGCCCCGCAGAGCCTCATGGCTTGACGTGTAAGAAACACTGAGCCCCCCAGCCCCCTGAGACTGAGCAGAGCCAATTTGCTCCAGGTGCCCTGGTAAAGGCAGCCAGGCCTGGGCTGTAGTCCCAGAGTCCACAAGAACATCTGTAAATGGCCACTCCACACTAAGGCACCCCTTCGTGAAGAGACACACTCCTCAGGTGCCGTTGCGGCCAAGCTCCTGGCCCTCCACCATGTCCCAGGAGCCAGACAATAAAGAATACCCTCACAGAAGTACCCAGCTCTCCTTGAGTCCCTGTGACCCAAACCTGGGGTGTTACCTTCAGTTTCCTCACCTACAAGATGGGCACTGTCCCCTAGGCCACCATGCCCATGAGGGCTCTGACCTGAGAGACACAGCACTGTCCTATAGCAGCAAAACTTCCCTGGGCCAGCTGTGTCCGACCCTGGTGCCAGCGAGCCCTTGCGTCAGAGCCGGGCAGGAGACCCAACCTGGGGGTGGGGATGACAGGTGGGATGGAGGGCCTGAAGGGGCCCCACAGCTGTCCAGTAGCCAAGAAAGCCTCTGGTCAGGAGAGATGGTGGCAACTCCTGGCAGATTTGCAACTGCCTGACAACTTTCTGTACGGCTGCCCACAAGCTCCATCAGGATTTAAAACAAAAAAAAATTCTGAGAAAAATATCAGGAAGCCAGCTGGGCAGACTCATGAGGACCCTGATCGTGGCCAACCCCATCCATTTGGCAGCATGCTGGTGGGTGTGGCTAACTCCATGAGGCCACTTTCCCACTATAGTTACAGGACAAAGAGTTGGCACAGAGCAGAGTCCTCAGGGCCATCCTTTAGAGCTGAGAGGTAGGCATGAAGAATGCAGGTGAGGCTCCCATTTCTCTGTGAAGTTCCTCTTCTTTCTCAGTCAGGCCCTTTTGCTGCTGGTTGGCCATAATATGAAACTAAAATGGGTTAAGAAAAAGATTCGTATTTCTCTCAAAAAAATTAACCAGTGGGGCATCTGGCTGGCTCAGTCAGTAGAACATGCAATTCTTTTTTTTTTTTTTTTTT